GGAAATAAAAGCAAAACAAGCCTACCCAGCTCTCCGCCCGAGATGGAAAAGTCCCTCTCGAGAATCGCCCACTTCTGGATGTGGTAGGGCCGGGCGGCCGCGTTCCCGTTCACCCGCCGGATGCCCTCCTCGATGGCCCGGTACACGGCAGGAGTCACTGCCGGAGCCGGGAGGCGGGTCCTGCGAGCTGTGGTTTGGGGGTGCGGCTGCCACCCCAATTGGTGGAAGGAGCAGAGGTCTGAGCTCAGAGCTCAGAGACCTCGGAGCGAAACCATGACCGAGAGCAGGGCCCGTAGCTCCTGCCTCATCCAGCAGCTGGAGCCGCGCCTGCTGAGCGGGTGGCTGTCCCAACAGCCAGCTGCTGCCCACAACCCCCGGGGGCAGAGGAACCTCCCTGGGGGGCGGCTGCCCGTTCCCGAGCCCAGTCCCGACCCAGCATGCACTGTGTGAACGCGGCTGTGGCGCGGGCCGGTCGGACCCACCTTCAAGGTGAGCAGCATGGACAGGAACTTCCTCTGGTCCCCGATGAGCACGGCGCTGCTCACGAGCGGCAGCTCCGTCTTCACCGCCTCCTCGATGGGCAGCGGGGGCACATTCTCCCCGCCCGCTGTGATGATCAGCTCTGGGGGGCAAGGCCAGGCCGGCTGAACCAGGACTCACCCTCAGGGAGGCCAGAGGAGCCGGTGGAGGAGCCGCACCCCTGAGCCCCTCTGACCTCCCCCCTCCCCTCCTACCTCCTACGTCACCCCTCCCTGCCTCTCACCCCTGCAGGCCCTGTGCCACCTGCCCCGTGTCAGTAACTCACTTCACCCTCACCACAGGCCATGACGGGAGCGCAGCCTTCCCATTTCACAGACGAGGAAACCGAGGCACAGAGCGGTTCAGTGACTCGGCCTTTCAGTGCAGCGCCGTCCAGAGCCCGTGCCCTCGCCCAGGCGTGCTCACTCTGCCCTCGGGACACCCTCTCCCTTCTCCCCACCGTCCGACCGGCCGCCTGTTCTGCAAGGACCAGCTCTGCTGCCTCCAAGCAGCCTGGTCCGCCTCTCCCGTCACTAATGCCTTCTCTGCGCTTTCTCATCAGGTGTCTGCCCCTCTGCAGGTCCCCCTGCCATTCGCCTGTGCACAGGGGGCCTGTGCACAAGGCCCGCATGGGGCCTGCCGCTCTGGTCTGTCCTCTGAGGGTGGCGTCCTTCCTTAATAACGACCCTCAATCACTTCGGCGACACTGTCCTCCTGCCCCCGTTCTACCCAGTTCAGCGAAGGGAAGCTGGTCCCACTCTGCACAGCCCAGTGCTGACCCCGGGCCCGGTGGATGTTGCGTCACAGGCAAATGGAGAAACACTAACGTTTATGTCCTCAGATGTCCTGGAAAGACTTGCCTCACTTCTCTAGGGAGTCTGAGTCCCAGCTCCACCGTCTACCGGCTGGGTGTCCCCTCTGGCTTCCTCATCAGTAATAACACGGTGCCCATCACGGTGGAGGCCCCTGAGGAGGCACTGCTCTCGCGGGTGTACATGGTGGTGGCCCGGCGCCCCCACCCCGCCCCTCACACCTTTGAGACGCCCCGTGATGTAGAGGAAGCCGTCACCGTCCAGGCGCCCGAGGTCGCCGCTGTGCAGCCAGCCGTCGGCGTCGATGGCCTCGCGCGTCTTGTCCTCCATGTTCAGGTAGCCCATGAAGACGGTGCGGCCCCACATGCAGATCTCGCCGATGCCCTCCGCATCCTGGTTCACCAGCTTCGCCCGGCAGCCGGGCACCACCTTGCCAGAGCTGGGGGGGGCGGGGGCAGAGGCCTGGTCAGAGGGAGGCACTTCCTCCAG